TTATATAGTATTCATTTATTCCCTTTTTTTTACTACCTTTTAGTGGGCATCAAACAATTGTGTACGTCTGAGTATATTATCTTGAAAAATCTGTTAAGGACTAAAAATCTCTAAATTTACTGCCACAAATAGATTAATTTTATCGTTGTGTATTGATAAATGCATTGTTGTTGAATAGGTTAATATATAGCATAATGAGCTTTTGTGGTAAGAGTTGGTGTTTTTGCATGACAAAGAGCCTAATTTAATTTTTTAATGTGATTTAATTGATTAGCTCTTAAAAAAAAGGTCCTTGGGCAAATGTTAGACCATGAATGCTTTACAAAAGTCTGATTTTATTTGCAAGTGAGGTCTAGGTCTAGTACTATAAAACTAAGTTCTGATGGAATTAATTTCTGGAATTTTGTGCCTTCCTGGAAAGTGGACAGAAATCCACATGACATCTCGCTAAACTTAACTTCACTAGTTCCATACTTAACAGCAGTTTTAGTTTAGGTTTTCTTTGTTCTATTCATGAATTCAAGCGTTTGTGTTCTTAAGGTATGAGCATGCCTTATGTGCCCCCTCCTCCGCCTGATGATGAACAAAGCATCTTTGCACATCACCAAACAGGAGTCAATTTTCACAAGTACGATGAGCACTTTGTCCAAGTGTCAGGACCGGACCCTCCAAATGCCATAGCGGTTCGTGAACTGTTTCATCTCAGTTTGTTGTTCATGATTCATCGGTGATGTGTATGGAGTCTAATACTTGCTGCTAAAGAAAATACTAATATAGAGGTCTTGAATCTTGCCGACAGTACCTTGTTGGAGGGAGGTGCTGCCCATGTGAAAGAGGCAAATATGAGTTGACTGCAGCATTCATAAACTACATAAATAATGCATAGAAAGCAATACTGGATATGTGGGAAGAATAGCCATTAAATTGCAGGAAAAAATGCCGATTTAGACCTTGAAAGAAAGAGGTCTTTAGTAGCAGTTTCTGGTAGAGTCTGGTAGAGTTATCTTACTCAAGTCTGTTACTGGGGTATCTTTAACAATGTAAACGAATCCCTGTCAGTGTAGTATTTATTTGGGCAGAGGTGTTCTCAACGTAATACCTAGCCCAGTTCTGTGGCTGCTGTTTGTTTGATTTATAACTTTGTTGCTACTCCATACTGAGTGAGTAGGATTAAAAAAGGGTAAGCAAAGCTCTTTCTAGGGGAAAGGAATGAGGGGTTAGTAGAACCTGGGTTGCAAGAGAAGTTGCAGAGGTGTTTTCCCCATCCACCTTCTGAAAGGTTCCCTCACTGAAGTTAAACTGATTTTTGTTATATATGATGCTTTTTGGTCCCGGGCAGGGATATTGCTTTAGCTGTCCTTACTGGTTTTAGCATGCCGACTGTGTATCTTCTAGAAGAAATTGAAGAATTTTAGTTAACTTTTCATAGCATGCCATGATCATGATGTGTGAGTTTACCTGCCTGAATCCAGATATATGGCTTTTGAGCAGTTTTCTCTCAAAACCAGTAAGACCAACTGAAAAGCTTTCACTGTCCTGCAAATAGGTTTACTTGAACAGCATGAGCAGATTGAAGCAACCCTTGGGGCTTTTACCTGTAGGAACCTTGGCAATCTAGATGACTGTTGACACTCCCTCCAGTGCTAACACTCTTTAGTGCCTGGATGTCCATATTCCATGGGAATTATCTCTGGTTTTAAACTTGAACTTCTGTGGGGGTGTGCTGTTAATACTGTTTTCTCTTACAGAGTTTTGAAGACATTGACATGAATAGTTTGTTAGCTGTGAACATTTCCAAGGCCGGCTACTTTAAACCTACTCCAGTCCAGAGATACAGCATTCCTATTATTTTGGCAGGACGGGATTTAATGGCATGTTCCCAAACAGGATCTGGAAAAACTGTAAGCATTTCGTGTAGTGTCTATACTATTGAAAGTGTGTGACTGTGAGCTTTTATTTGTATAGCTCAGTCTTCCACCTGCCAGGTGCTTCACAGCTTGTTGTCTAATGATTTCACTTGCACAGCAATGGTAGGTGTAATATTAAGCACAGATATGAATTGTGGATGGGTTTTCACATTTTGGGCTGAATTTCTTCTTCATTTTCAGTGAATTAGTGTCCTGATAGAGTAGACCAGCCTTCAGGGCTGTGGATAGAGATTCAGAACTGTAGGCAGGCTGTCCTAGAAACTGCTGATGGAGAAAATCAGCAGTCAAAATTTGTTTTTGTATTGTCTGGAGTTTTGTCTTGTTTGGGTTTTACTTTGGGTTTTGTTTTGGTGAGGTTTTTTGTTTGGGTGTGGGTTTTTTTGGTGGTGTTTTTTTATTTTCTTTTTTTTTTTTTTTGTGGGTTTTTTTTTTTTTTATTTGGTGGGTGGGTCTAAGTTTGTGGGTGTTTTTATGCTTTTTTTTTTTTCCCCCAAGCTTATACCAGTTTTTAACAGTGTGTTGTGCTGTCTTGTCATACTTGGTTTGGTAAGTCTGATCTGCACCGGACTTAGTGTTAGGTGATTCAGTATTAGTCATGGAACAGCCTTGAGCATTAATGGTTGTCTGAACTTACTGAACTGTGCTGACAGCTGATGTCTTAGAATGTTTGGCTGTTAAGTGCGTCTTTATGCTGTGCAGTGTAGTTTGGAATCCTAGTTTTATGTTTGTTCTTTTGGAAAACCTCTTCTGTTTGCAGAAATGGAAATGTCCAAAGCTTATGCTCTAGATACTCTGAATGCTTTTGAGGCTGCTATACAGATGCTGCTTCAGGGGTAACTAATCTTACATGTCAGTAAGTGTGCTGGTGCAGCTGTGTTACAAACCAATCTGCTTTTCTGGCAGTTTGGACAATGTTGATACATGTTACTTTACAGACCGACTGATGATCTAAAGCTCATAAGTACATGTTAAGGATAGCTTTTGATCCTAGGGTACATGATCATTAATGCATGTCATCAGTGTGTGGAACTGCCTGAGAACCCACAAGTTACCTACTGCATGATTGTGTTCTTGGATTAACTGGAGTCTTAAGATCCAAAGAGATTTTCATACTGCTTAAAAAAGGAAAAATAAGCTTAAATGTCCTGTAGTGCATACAGGTCCAATCCTTTTGCGGTCAGGTTTACTTAATTGTGTGTGCTATTGTTCAAGCTTTGAGATTGATAGACAGGTTTTAGTGTGACTGATGAAAGCTTTGAGACTAAACAATTTAAATATTTCTGGTTACTTTTTTTCCCAGGCTGCTTTTCTTGTACCGATCGTGGCCCAAATGATGAGAGATGGTGTAACTGCCACTATCAGTAAAGAGCAGCAAGAACCGGAATGTATTATTGTTGCCCCAACTAGAGAACTGATAAATCAGATCTTCCTAGAAGCAAGGAAATTTGTGTTTGGGTAAGCTTTTGCACTGTTCACTGGTATTGATTATTACTTTGCCTGAATCAGCAGCATTTTAGTTTGTTTGCTTTCATAAATATTTACAAAACTTTGTGTGCCGATCATATGATTACAAGCACTTGATTTCAGATTATAATGATTTCCGATTATCATACTGTCTAGCAGGTTTCTTACTATATGGCTAGGGATTTAAGCTCCTTATCTTCTTCATGTTTACTCACAGTCTGACCAAGTTTCCTTATGAGCTCGGTGACAGGTTTCCCTTAGTGGAGTCACGGACACCTGATGCCTTTAAGTAAGGTCATCCTTGTGCAGCAACATGGATCAGCTCAAGCTGGGTGTGTCTGGGAAGAGACCCATGAACAAAGTAATCTCTGGGCTTTTATACATTCCAGTCTGTGCACCTGATGGCCTGGTTGGGGTCCTCTTCCTGAGTTACTGTCTCCTGCTGACTCTTGAGTGTCTGGTCACATGGCTGGTGATGCAGGTCCCTGTGCCCTTTGTTAAGCAGAGGGTTAGTCGCAGCTCACAGCTTCTTGCCGAGATTCCAGCCATTTCCCACCATCCAGAGCTCAATCTGCAGCTGGCACTGCAGTTACACACTGAGCTATCTGCACTAGATGTATTCCTCAACATGAAGAAGCTTAAAATTTAGCTTGCCTTATGTAATGTACACTATTTTCATCTTGACAAAAACAGAGGTGTGTGTCAGGGCTTTTATTTAATTTCAGTGATGGTTTCTAATAGCTCATACTTCTTGTGTTTCTGGTCTTGGACAGACATTTCACAGCTCCAGAAAGCTCTTGTGGACTTTGAAACAGAGCAGAAGGTCTAAACTTGCCGTTGAATCCTTGGGTGCTGTGTGAAAGCACACTTGTTTTGTCAGTGATCTTTTCACTGCTAAGTAATAGGTTTCACCAGTGCACAGAACAGAATTAAATCTGTCTGTAAAGAGTTGTTACTGTTTGGAGGTGGAATGCAGAACATCTGAGTGTGTAATCTAGTGGGATAATTTAGCATTGCCTTTGCTTGTTCAAGCAAGCTTACTTGGGGGCTGTCTGCCTTTGGGAAGTATGATCACATTTGCATATCTACTTGCTAAACATGTTATTAAGAACATCTAAATCTGTAAAGCTGTTTTAACTTTGTAGTTGATTCTGTTAATTACACTATTTTAAAATAGATACAGGTGATTTTACAATAAAATACCTTTTGAATCTAGAAGGTTTCTGCTACAGCTGGCCTGCAGTAAAAACCAGATAACCTGTGTTTGAGGGGCAGGATGTGAATCTGTTGTCTTTAAAGGATTGCGTGCATATTGCTCAGTTCTGATTTGTGATACTCTTAGGCTCTTCGGTGTTTAATTTGCAGATAGGAAGATAAATATTTACATTAATAGTGGATAAGTATTGAAATTGTAGGAATCCAGTGCATTTCTATTCTTGAGTAAAGCTTTCTAAAAAGCTTGGATGAAATTTAATAGGTTTATCTGTTCACTCTTGTTGTATATGAGCGGAATTGGTATCTTTAAGAAAAGACAGTTTGAATTCGAGTATGAAAATACTCATGGCATGCACGTAAAAACTCATAGCACACGTACAGAAACCTTAGCAGGCTATAAAAATGAGCTTGTTAACTTGCTTCTCAGTTGTATAAAGTGGTTCTTGCTCACAGAGGTGGTTTTCTACAGAAGAGGCTCTGATGTAGCTCTGCTCGGTAGGTCTAACCAAAAAGCTAAGTAGAAAGAGCACCAAGTAGTGTAGTCTTTAAGTGGATTTGCAGTCTGATCCTTGGGTCACACACTATATGGGCAGTGTGATTAGTTGCATTACAAAGATTCTACTTGTGTATTTTGGTGGGGTTTTTTTTGCACTGTCCTTTTAAGGTCTGCATAGATTACTTCTACATCCTGGAGGCATAGAGTGGTGGTTCTGCTTTTTCCAAATGTGCTGTGTAAAAGGGGGCAATATCTAACACTATTTTGGCTGTCACTGTTAGTAGCACTCAGTAGAAGGGAGAGGGAAGAATGCAGGTGAAACTGAGTGTTCCAAACCTGGGCAGCCTCTGTTGTGTAGTGTGAATGGGAACTTGGAGCTTAAACCACTCTAAGTAAGCTCATTTATGGTAGATCTGATTGTTTTTTACAGACTTTTGTGAAACAGTACTGTTTGCATGCTTAAGTAATTGATCTAAACTTTTTTCTACGTAATAGAACTGGCATAAGGCCAGTTGTGGTCTATGGAGGTACCTCGAGAAGCCATTCAATCCACCAAGTAATGCAAGGCTGTAGTATACTGTGTGCTACTCTGGGAAGGCTTCTAGAACTCATTCAAAATAGGACGGTAAGACCTTAAAATTTAATCTGAATTCCCTAATACTCTTAATTTTTCACTTACTGGTTTTCAGTCTTCAAATTCAATAGAAGCAAAGAGAGAGCCATTGAATCAGTATGCTGCTGCCTTTGTACCTCTACTGAAACACAAGTGAGCTTCTCTTAGATTGCCTAAATTCCATGAGGTTTTTGAAATAGTAGCCTGAGTCCAGATCTCTGCAGCTCCTTTCAGAGCCAAGTGGAAAATATCAGTCTAAATCAAAGTGGCTGCAGTGTTTGTGGCAATTTAAATTTTATACTTTAAGTACGTGGAACGCCTTCTCTGAGTTCTTGGGGAAAATTCTCTGGTGGATTTTCACTAAAACCTTGAGGTGTAATACCGTGTTGGAAGTTTTATTTTTCCAGCCATTGTAAGTTCAAATAAAAAATGCTGCATATTATAGTGGTGATCCAGTGATGCTGCACTGGACAAATAAAGGTTGGAAAAACACTCTTTGGTAATAAACTGGAGACTGGCTTTCTACAATTGTTAGGCTTCTAGTCTAAGTGATAGTCTTGTTCAGCAGCACTGAAGTTGTAATGTCCTTACTGCTTTCTGGCACAATTTTTTTTTCTCAAAACAACATGTTTTTTTGAGAGTATGTGAGTGTTATATGAGAGTACCTTTTCAAAACTCAAAGTACAGTTCCAAAATAGATGTGCTGAATAATGGTTGATCTCTAGGCTCTACTTTAGTTGGCATTGCTGAACCAAGTTCTAAAGCACTTCAGTGTGTGCATACTACTAGATTTACTGGAGATGAAGATGTTAAGTAAGGTTGAGATGGAAATAAATCTTAGTATTTAATTTGTGAATGATGAGCTTTCATTTGTGAGTAACTTTGACTCAAAAGAATTTAGTATGAGATGGATTTTGGCAGTTAGAACATTTAGTAAGTATGTACTGTCAGTGAACCAATGGTGTTTTTCTTTCATTGTCATCCTTGCAGGTTGGTTTGCAGAATGTGAAGTACTTGGTGCTGGATGAAGCAGATCGCATGCTCGATATGGGCTTCAGCTTAGACATTAAGAAGCTGATTACCTTCCCAGACATGCCCCAAAAAGACAAACGCCAGACAGTCATGTTTAGTGCCACTTTCCCTGAAGAAGTTCAGAGGTGGGTAAAATAAAAATAGACATGTCTGAAGGTGTACTTGTGCAGAACTAAATGTCTAAGGACCTAAGAATACTCTTTAATATGTAAAAGCTTATAATCTTGCTGCAGGATACTGAAAACTATGATGTTAATGTTACTTGCCTAATTTAGGTGGGATTCCAAAGTATTCACTGTTTAATTTAGGTGGGGACTCCAAAGCAACTGAGGAAGTCGTCTGAAGGTTTTTAAATTCCGCTTCTGCAGAAGTCCTCATGTTGCCCTTACTGGTTTCTTGTCCCTCCCCTACCACATCTGTGCAGTGATCTTGGGGTTTCACAACCAGCACTGTCTTTGGCTAACCCCACATACCAATTACTGCTCAACTCACCAGCCTTTCTGATTCCGAATTCTTATTTACTAGCATAATTGCCATTTATTTCAGTTGTTTTAAAGCTTCCACAAATGGGTTTACAATATATCTTAGTTTATTATTGCTCACTACTTTTAAAGTTCCCCTTTGTTAAGATAATAGTCCTTAACAAATGGTAGTGGGGTTGCTGAATAACAGAACAGTTAATTCCCTGTAGGTGGGTGGAAACTACACAGCATTTCCACTTTTGAAGACAGGCAACTGAATACTCACTCTTAAATCAGAGGAGTCTGAACTTCAACTGGAACACTGGAAATAATTTTGGGGACTTTTGTGGTCAGGATAATGTTAGGACATTTCAGTGAAGTGTATTGGAGCTTCAGTGAGTCAAATCCTCGTAACTTCTTTTGGCCTTGAGAGTCTGAAAGATCTTTTTTGAGTTGGTGAGAAGATACCTTTAGTAGCTGACTGCTCTGAATGGTAGAGGGTGAATAGGCTGCTTTTTCCCTTTCAGTCAGGTGGTGCTGAGCACTGATAGGGAGATGAATCACTTTTCTTAAGGTAGGAATTAGTCATAAGTCACCTGTTGTGGCTTTGGTTCCTCAAGGCTTTTTTCATAGAGTTCTTTGTATGGAAAGATGACCTTGCAGTGAATAATGGCCTTGTTTTCATAGCTGGGAACCAAGTATTCAAATGATTCTGTACATGGGTATCATTCATGTTCATTCCATGTGTTTAACTGTTTCTGCTGGAATGTGGTCTCACTTCACAGCTCATCCTGGGAAAAGACCAGGCCTGTCTCCCTTTAAGATGCACAGTGTGCTCTGATTGGCTCAATTTTTGGGTTTGGAAGAAGAATCTGCATTCCTTGATCTGTTGCATTTACCTTTGTGGCTTTGCTAATGCTTTTCCTCTGTGTGTTTGCTGCATAATGGGAGATGAGCAAAGAGTAGTTTAGCTACCACTGTCTGAAAGGAGGAGATTTCTTCAACTAAACAAGAAATTAACTGTCTGTTTCTGCTTAATGAAAAAAAACCCAAAGCATCTGTCATTCTCCTGTCAGTCTTGCAGGATTTACAAGTGCTGCTGAAAGACTTCAGAAACCTGAGTGCATGGATCATAGTTTGGAAGTGCATGATAGCATTAGAATCATAGAATCATTTAGGTTTTAGAAGACCCCGAAGGTCATTAAGTCCAGCCATTAACCCAGCACCACTGAGTCTACTACAAAACCAGTGCCACATGTGCACATCTTTTACGTATCTCCAGGGATGGTGATTACACTGAATCCCTGGCTATCCTGGTCCAGTGCTTGACAACACTTCAGTGAAGATGTTTTTCGTAGTAGCCAGTCTAAACCTCCCCTGGTGCAACTTGTGGCCATTTCCTCTTGTTCCTATCATTCTTGTAATCTTTTGACACTGAAAGTCCTAAAGGTAATGCTCTTTGCACTTTAGAGAGTGAAAACCCTTCTTGCTTGGAGTCAGTTCGTTCTTGGATTTAATGCCTTTCTGATTCTGAAGTCAGGAATGCTAATGGTTTACCTATACTCTGCTGTCAGAACAACTTTAGACAGTATACTACTTAGGTAGTATGGGACCAGGTGCATTCTTTGACCTGCCTGGGTTCAGATTGTCCTGCACTTTTATTCAGTGAATATAATCATATTGGGTTTTAACATACCATTTGGTTTTATACCCGAATTTGGATCTCTGCTTTTACACAGACCTGTGTTCTTATAGTCGAGGCTCTTCTGTACATGTGAGTTGAGGGAACAGTATGTTTTCTGGTTGACTGGTGAACATCAGCTTAGCATTTGGGGCTTTATATCTCCCATTAAAAGGCTGTTGTGGTTTAATCCCAGCTGGCAACTAAGTACCACACAGCTGTTTGCTCACCTCCCCACCTAGGAAGGCTCCCTGGAGCCTTCTCCAGGCTGAACAAGCCCCAAGACCCTCAGCCTGTCTTCATGGGAGAGGTACTCCAGCCCTGTGATCAGCTTAGTGGCCTCCTCTGGACTTGTTACGACACATTTGCGTCTTTGTTGTGCTGAGGGACCCCAGAGCTGGATACAGGAGTTCAGGTGGGGTCTCACAAGAGCAGAGTATAGGGTCAGAATCACGTCCCTCACCTGCTGGCCTCACTGCTTTTGTTGCAGCCCAGAACACTGATGGCTTTCAGGGCCGCAAGTGCACATTGTTAGGTCATGTCCAGCCTCTCACCCACCAGCACCCCCAAGTCTTCTTTCCCAGGGCTGGTCTTGATTTGTCCTCCACTCAGCTTGTACTAGTCCTGTCCTATCAACCCGTGTATAAAGTTGCTCTCCATCACCCCTTTAGATGCTGGAAGGCTGCAATAAGGTCTCCCTGGAGCCTTCTCCAGGCTGAAAAGTCACAGAGTCTCAGCTTTCTTATCCTGTCTTCGTAGGAGAGGTGCTACAGCCCTCTGATCATCTTCATGGCCTACTCTGGATCTGCTTTAACAGGTCCATGTCTGTCTTGTGCTGAAGACCCCAGAGCTGGATGCTTTCTGGCTGCTAGATGGACTCCCAAGTTGGGATCTCATGAGGGCAGAGATTCAGGATTGCCTCCTTTAACCTGTTGGTCACACTTTTCATGCAGCTCAGGATGCGGTTGCTTTTCTGGTCTCAAACAATGCAGACTCTTTTAGCTTCTTAAAAAAATGCATGTACAACTACTTGTTTTATTGGTCACAAGACAGAGGATAAAAATACTGGTTGTAAGGGTTGCTAAATGTAAATGGAACTACTTGATCTTAAAGCAAGAATAATTACATATTAAATCTCATGTTGCTCAATTTTGTCTCTTTTCAAGGCTGGCTGGTGAACTTTTGAAAACTGATGTTTTATTTGTTGTTGTTGGAGATATGGGTGGAGCTTGCTGTGATGTTCAGCAAAGGATTCTTCAGGTTTCGCAGCCTCTGAAGACACAGAAACTGATAGAAATTCTACGCATCACAGGTAACTTTCCTTATTGATAATCGTTTACCAGGGAAGATAAAATTCCTTGGGTTTAGACTCCTGTCTAAAAGGTCATGATTTTATGATTTTATTGTGTTACATGCTTTACAAGGCCACTGGTGAAGCTTGAAGCAGATCTAGGGGAGTTCTAGGTTTTTGGGCTTCTTTGTGTTATGGGTATTTTGGAGAATCATAGAATGAGTTGGAAGAGACCTCTAAGAGTCATCAAATCTAGTCCAACCCCCATTATTTGTCAATGTCTCATCTCTTTGCAGTGCTAACAGACAAGCTTCCTACAAGGTTACCTTCTTTATATGGCCAGTTGTAACACTTTAGCATCTGGGGGTGTTATCTTTAAATTATAGGTGTATTAAAATTCTTACCTGAATGTTTGGGCCTGTATTTTGTTAATGCATGGGATTTTTCCATTTTTGCTCTGTATCTTAGGTTTTAATGCTGAAAACTGGGAGGGAGTTTGGAGCTAAAAAGTCGTCTGTGTTCCTTGCTGTTTGGTGCTCCTTTCATTGAGAAGAACAAATTGTGTCTTCATCTAAACATTGATCAGTTGAATTTCATTAGTTCAGTACAGGGAAGAAATTACAATCATGCCTGAAACACTATGCAAAATGTGTGTCTGTGTTAGGTGTTCTTGTAATAAAGTGCAACTCTAAAATAGTGAGAATGCATCATGTTTCAAACTTCAGTGGGTCTGAACTTCTGTTTAACACAGGTGATGAACGAACCATGGTATTTGTGAAGACGAAGGTCAAAGCGGACTTCATTGCCTGCTTTCTTTGTCAGCTAAGCATACCGGCCACTAGCATCCACGGGTATGTATTTTGAAAGTGAAAGACACATAATATTATGTCTTGTGAGAAGCTTTGAGTACTGATGTTTGGCCATATGTGTGCCATGTTTCAGATGACCCTACAATCCTCAGCAGCTCCATTCAGTGAGGAATATAGTGTTCTCACAGTTTGAGGAATATATGCCTTTCTGGTTGACCACATTTAAAATGCTGTATCAGAAGTGGAGAATCTTATGCCTACCACTAGTAAAAGAATGAATTAGTATGTAAAAAATTCTGTAGAATCAGCTTGTTGTTAGTGAATAGACCTTTTTTTGTTACTGGTAGGATGATGGTCATAAATCTGAGTGGCAGTTCTGGGCCATCCACTTGTGCCTTCCTCTAAGTGATGAGGTCAGTCATGTGCCGTACAGAATTTTGATGCGATCATTTCTGCCTCCTTGATGTGTTCATGGACATAACATTTGCATGGAGCTAGATATAAAGAAAAGATGCTTCTAACTTGAGTTTGTAGTCCACTCATCAGTGTTACATGCATGAGCAGATGCTGAGAAACAAAGTGAAATAGGTCCTAATTCCCTGTCTAAACACATGCAAAGTGGTGTGGTTTTCACATTATGAGCTGGAATGTAGTTCTGTGATGTTTCCATGTCAGTGTAGGTTGCTAGTGAACTGCAGTGCATCAAAAATGTAATTTTGCAATATTTTTCTTGTAGTAGGAGGAAGGGACTTGAACTCTTGCCAATAAAATGATGTTTTGGGCAGTGTTCTGACAGAAATCAGAATATCAGGGTTGTAGATGGGTTAAAATGGTCTTAGTACACAGATACAAGGTGTTTGTGTGTGAAGGGTTGCGGAGAGCTCACGAGCAGGGAAGACACAAAACACTCAATATGAGGTTCTGCAAAAGCCTTCCAACTTTATTTCTTTGCCAGGGTTCTTTTGTACATATTTCTCTAATGTATGCCTACGTGCCAAACTTGAACAGGTGAACAACAATGTTGGCCTGCTCCTCCCAGGAGCAGTCACTTCTGCATCTATTTTTAGCCACAGCTTGTTTTGCTCAACCTAATGTTGCACCAAGGTCGCAGTGTCCTTGTCCCTGATTAGTTGCTGTTTCCCACCTTTGCTGCTCCTGTTTGGGGTGGTAGGAGTCTCCTTGCTGACACAGCACCTCCATGGAAATATGTCCTTGTTCTTTTAGCCATTCTCCAACAAAGGGTCATTTTGAGAATATCTGGCCTTCTGTTCATGGCTAACCTGAATTGGTATCCCATAATGCCTGTGTGTAGGAGGAGGTTCCTATCATATTTCTATAGAATTATTGTGCTGTGAGTTACTGCTTCCATGGAAGCTGTTAAACCGTCAGGAATGTTACTGGTTTCTGATTCACATTTCCTTTCTGAGGTGATGTTAGGATAGTTACTCTTCTCTGGAATAATGGTCATACCAGACTTCACTAAATATCGCATATTAAGATCCCAAAGAGCACTGTTGTTCAGCTTGTTAATTTGTTCTCTTGTTTCGACAACAAAGAACGTGAGTTAAACTGATCCACTGTGTTTAAGCACTGGATAATCTGTAAATATTCTTTACACATGCTAACCCCAGAGCAAATACAGTTTTTCTTGTCATGATGATAAGTAAAAGGCAAGTTCTGTACTGTTGACTGGCCTTTTTTTGATATATGTGAAAAATGGCCTATGTGGGAGTCTAGGTGGAATTTGTCTTTATTATTCTGGCTCTGTGTCGCAAGGCAGCAGGAAAAGCACTTTTGACTATGGCATGAATCATAGAATCAGCCAGGTTGGAAGAGACCTCAAAGATCGAGTCCAACCCTAACATCTTTAGTAGACCATGGCACTAAGTGCCAC